ATTAACATTAACACATGTCCTGAACGTGCACTAACCGCCATTGTCGTCTGTGCGCCGTGTGTGTGCGTCTTCGACTGAATCCAACGACAGGTCACACAACACGACCTAAACGTGGCAACACTGACTCAAGGGGAAAACATGCACATTAAAGAACAGAGAAGCCCCAATAAAAAAAAAGCCTCTAACGTAAAACAGTCCCCATTAAAGAGATCCCCCAATATTTGTGAACTCTTACATATAACATCAATGCCATTGTTGATCAGTAACTCCGGGGTAATACGAGCGCTAATGAGAGGAGTTGGCACTTTATAAACACTGTGAGGAGCAGGTGGGGTCGAGGGGGGGGGGGGGTCACGCTCGGCCATTTTGCCCACCTCAGCTGGTCCCTTTCACGACCACTGTCTTTCTCAGATCAGAGAGGGGTATTTGGACAAATGAGCATATACCCGTCGGACGTCTTTGTTGAAAGTTAAGTCCTGTCCCGGGTGATTCGATGGTGCTGAACAAAAAAGCGATTAATCTGCATCTCTGCGTTGACAAAAGGAATTCCCTCCTGAGGGAGCAAGGACACACACACACACACGGAGGACGCTCCCGTGTTTTATAGCGTCTTTCAGCCTGACATTGTGCGTGCGATTTAAAAAAGGGGGCTCTTTTGTATGTCAAAACCTCACTTTTAATGGGTTTCCCATAAAAGTGCTCAATGATCGTGGTATTGGAATCAGAGCGAGAGCAAAGCGCTTCCTCATTTCGGTGTCTGGAAGTGATCCCAGGCGAGAAAGTGCACCACATCTTAGACTGAGGCCGCATGCGCTTTCTTTTTGCTAAACCAAAGGGCTCTTTCCTGCGGTGCTATACAATCATTTATTGAGGCTTAATTAACATCTATTCAATGGCGTATGTACTTTTTTTGGCCACTTTAAAAGGGCCCTTCTGTGCACTTTAAGCTTCGACCATGAGGTTGTAAGGTTTTTAACGATATTCCGGCAAAGGTTAGGAGCAATAAATAACTTTGGTCTGCATCAAGCTTTCATTGTGGCATAAGACAAGTCTTTTCAATGGAGAATTTTAAGAAAAGTAGTTATATCAGCTTGGCAGCAGGTGCTACTCACGTCTGGCATTTCTGTCCCTGCAGGGCCGCAAACTGGAGTCTAATTTACAAAGAACCCAGATTATTCGAAGCAGTCAGAGGTCTGATCATGAGGATATGCAAAAAGAAAAAAGTTTTAACTACGCATGGACCTCAATCAGACTGGCAAAATCATTCTGAGCCGCAAATATCCGACATTCACAAAGCTGTAAATAACATATATTCATGAAAAGTTGTTGAAACTGAAAACAATTAAAACAAACTTCTTCCATAGTGATCGGAGTGAACCCAAAATAGGATGAAAACAAAGATTCCCCCACTAAGTCGTGACATGCAGATTTAGTCACTGTAGGTGTTGCTAAAAGTGCCTGGGGGGGTGGTGCGTATGTGTGTGTGTGTGTGTGTATGTGTGACAAACAAAAACAGAACATTTTTCTTTAAGAGGCATTGAGCATATGAGCATTTTTACTCAAATAAATACATGTGTTTCTCTCACCTATATTTAATCATTTTTTACCTTCCCAAAGGATAGCAACATGACATACAACGTCTGTTGGTCCCTTTTGACCTGTTTTAAACGTCAAAAGTTGTTCCATGCTGAACCCATTTAGATTTGGATCCATAACCATTTCTGGCCATTTAGGCGTTTATTGACCTGACGGGCTGCTGAATGCTTTCTGACAAAAGCACTACAGCTAAATAGTCTCTTCATTGCAATCGAAATGTAATATACAATTTTATGAACAATATTTTGAACCGCCTGAAAGCCAGCCTGGGGTTGCAAAGAAAGACCATGGCAACACAATTCGAGAGAGAACTTTCTTCTCACTCAAAATATACTTTGTACCTTTTCGCATGAGAAATAAATTGCAGAAACAGTTATAAAATCGACAGAATCGACCCACTTTGCTACAAAGGACTTTTAATCTTCCGCATCACAATTGCAGCGCCAATTTATGTGCACTGTAACTAATAGGCCACCGGGTGAGAGCCACACAGGTACCGCGGTGCTACAAAGAGGCCGTACAGGACGGGATGTGGTGGTGCTTCAAAGAAACAGGGCGAAGGCGGCGCAGTACACCGAATGGAAAAAGTCAGCAAGAAAAGAAAACCCTCATCTGAACGAGGCCATAATCGTTTGGAGGACTCCAGCGCATAACCTAAATAATGCATTTCAGGTTTTGATATAACTATTACTGCCTGTGAAATGCACTTTGATGTTAATTGAAACCACTGGGCAGCAATCTGCTTTATAGCACTGACAAATAACAGTTTCCTATGGGCTCAGCATTAAAGATTAGCAAGCACATACTTGCTCCATATGTTCATTCAATATCAATAAAAATCTAAAAAGAGCTTGCATTCCCACAATATGCTGAGGATGGTCCCTGGCCGACGTTGTGGTTGAATACAAAATGTCGTTTACAGCTCTTAACGGTACCTTCACCAGAGTTCCTGTATGGTGCAGGACAAAGCTTCGCTGTATTGTTTTCCCCGTAGTGCTTCCTCTCTTTTGTACAGAAACCACAGCTTAACTTGATAAACTAATAATACAGTCTAGGTGGCCCAACAAAAAAAATGTCTGCATTGGAAAGAAGCCCGTCTCTCATACCACAGTTAGAACCATGGGGCAGAGATGATTTCAGGGCCGTGGGCTCTGGTTTTAATACAGACGCAACACAATAGCCTGTGTCTTCTTTAACTGTGCTTTTGTACATTCTGACACTGCGCACTTCTCATCTATTATCCTTTTTTTCCCCGGCGTTTTAAGACGGTTGTTATATTTTGAAAAAGGAGCCGTGTCAAAGGTTCATCCGGACCTGATGCAAAGCACAATAACAGAAAACATACCTCCAAGGGGAGCGCAAACACGTTGGTCTTACCCCCCCCCCCAAAAAAATATATATGATGATAGAAGAAGTTCAAAGGGATTTCTTTCCCATCACATAGGATACCACATTAGAGTGTTTACAGGGATGACCTTGCTTTGTGCTGAGCTCCAGGGGTCGGACATGAGAGGAGAGGTGCCTCCTGTTTCACTGTAGGACAAATGACAGGCATTGTTGAAGAAGGTAATTGGCTTGTCTCCATTTAAAGAACTTGTACATTATGATTGTTCACAGTCTCATTTCTAACCCGAGTGTGTGTGTGTGTGGGGGGGGGGGGGGGGGTCCACAGATCTTGCACACAGAAAATTTAACAGGGCCCAATGTTCACGCGTGATTCTTCAGTCATGCGGGTTGTAAGGACGTGAACCCGGTCCACCAGAGATGGAATTGAAAACCAAGCAACTGCACTGAGTTTTTTCGGACGAGGTAAGTGCTTGTCTGCCAGTGAAGGCCCCATACATTACATTCCCTGGAAGAGCCCCAGATCTGACAGGCGGGGGGGGGCGCTGTTCCTTGAAATGTTATACAATAAGAATGATTGACAGCGGAAATATTTGACGCACAAAAGGAACATGGTAATGTAATGATCGGCAAGGGTGACGGAGGTTGGATGAAGGCGGATTTTGACATTAGAAGATAAAATAAATAGAAGTGATTTACGACATTATACGATTTTTATTTCACTATAGTAGCTCTAAGATCGCACTACAGGCTGACATATGTTGATGTAAAAAAAAATGATATATATATATATATAGGCAAGCATGTGGATTTAGTTTTCAAAATGACTCCAAGGATATGTTTCAAACATTGAATCCCTTTGGAGGACCAGAACAGAGGAGAGGAAATGTAGGTTATAAATAGGAATCAAAAGAACCCCCCTCCGTTTATTAGTAAGGGATGCCAGAGACACCGACAACTTTGAAAGTGGGAGAGCTTGTGAGCATTTTACAAGACAGGTGAAAGAAACATGTGTGTTAAATTATTGTACCCGGCTAACTTGGGTCAGCTCTACCACAAAAGAAATAAGATTACAAAGGAAACTAATGAAGACACTGATCAAAGTGTGTGTTGGTAATATGTAGCAGGTGTTTCAGACCCCTGCACCACCCTCCCACCACCACTGCTGCTCCGTCCGTGAAACTATTTCACATGTGCTTTGATAGGAACAATGGAAAGAACACATTTCAACACTGTTGAAAACATGTTATGGGGATGAACTCTCAGAGCGCACACTTCCACTGTGGGTGATGCATAGCGGCGGCCACATGGACGCTGAGCAATTTACGGTGCACTTTCAAGATCAGTAGTGAGTTGAAAAGGGCTGACTTGGATGAAGCCCACACCGGCAGGAAAGCACCTGGATTTAAGATGCATGCCAGAGTTGAAAGAAATTTGGCGGGAGTTGAACTGGAGCATGTTCAAAGCATGATTGCTATTTTTACACATAGTCTGAGATGAAAGTGGAACTGCTTTTGATTTCAAAAAAGGGGGAAGCATATGGGATATCCATGTTGAAGACCAGGATATTTTTGAAGAGGATATTTAGAAAACGAACGAAATGTTGATGAAGTACAGCACTACCACCACCACTTCTGACACAAAATATGTATTCATTTGTATAATAGCTATGGCGGTAATAGTGAACATTTATTTCATATTAATAATAACAGCAAAACTAATACCAATAAAATGTTGAGTATTAGTTGGGTTCGTTTTATATATCGTTTTTCATTTTTATTTTAATGTCCCAGTGGTTCAACTTAAGTCGCTGATTTAAATTCTATCCCTCATTTGTAGATCTGTAGAGCTGCATCCGCGCAGTGCATCCCTTAAAGCGCTCCGACAGCTACTTCCGCCAACAGCACGCGGCTACTCTGGGACTTGTAGTTCCTCTCGCAACGCTTTCAGAATCTCCTTTAAAATTAACCCCACTAAAAAACAATTTACACCGAAAATATTGCCGACTAATCTCCAAGTAACACAACAGGGGACGTGCGTTTGCGTGTGGCCTTTAATACGAAAACAGATTGAAACACTGTTTATTCGTGCACTACAACAACCAACCTCGCCTCTAGTGAAAACGAGGCGGTGTAAACAGAAGTCTGGAACATGAAAAGATCGGGTGACAGTGAGGGGGAGAAGAGAAGAAAGGTATTGATAGCGTTTTTCTCCATTAGGTCTGGCGTATTTGTTGAGTCCGGTCGCTCGTTGAACATGTAACGCCGCGTACGCGATGCCGCTGGCTGCCGTACGACGGCTAAAAGGCTGCTGAACGCCAGCGCAGACTTCACCTTGCGCCGCTTTCTTTATTGATGTTTTCCATTTCCCTCCTCCAGTCTTCCACCAAGAATAATTACAGTTGAATTGAAACGGTGCTTTTAACTCCTATAAATACACCACCTAGAAGAAGCTGTAACTCGCGGGAGGGGAGAAGAAAAAAAACCCCGTCCCGACAGCAAACGGAGACAGTATTTGTAAGAAAACCAATGAATTGTTCAACTTGGAACTATTCTAAAATGTTGTAGTTATTAACATATCAACACAAAAAACACACACAATAGAGCAGCAGCTCCAGCCGAATTTGTGACGCCTTTCTGGTGCGAATAATTAAATCAATTGTTAGTGGCGGAGCAGTAACGGTGCGGACACGTGCAACAGTTAACAAAAAAAAAGAATGGTAAAATGATTGTATATTTGGCGAGGTGCCAGGCAGCTGCTTCACGCTTTAAGGCAGAGACACTGGACACCAACTGGTGCCCTGCTGTACGGGGGATAAACGTGCCAGCCGACGAAGTACATGCACACACCACATGAACAGTGAGGGGTCGAGCATCCATGTGACCTCTGGCTAACCAGCCCCTTTTTTGCGCATGCGCAGTGTCGTCCCGCTGACCCCGCGAGGCTTTTTCGGAGCTTGCATGTGCTGCGGGCTTAAAACGCGTAGCTTTGCGGTTTGTTGGGGGCTACCAAAGGAAAGGGAGGAGAGGGCTCCGGTGTGCAGGCATCCTGTGTTTCGCCTATAGTCACGGCGTGTCTGTCGGTCTGTCTGACTCTCTGTCTGGCCTTCCTCTTATCTCCTGAGTTGGATGCCGTCTGCCGTGGCACATATGTTTGGATCATGTCTGACAGCAGTGAAAGTATGTAAGACGTGGTTCCTCCTGTTTATGAGAGCAGCCACGGCGGCCAGATGAGCGGCTCAGAGAGAGAACTCGTTCCAGCTGGCCCTCAGGCGGCCGGGCAGAACTGCAGAGACCTGTTGGCTTAGCTTCCTTTCTTTTTAGATAAATATGAGGATGAGCAAAAGGAATTTAATTGTGAAATGACTATGCGACTGTAGAGAAGCCAGGGAAGGAGCTGCACGCATTTGGGCCCCTTCTTTTTTAGCGATAGCAGTGGTTGCGTAACGACACAGATGGTATGTCTTCTAATAACTTGGATATGATGGTTGTCTTATCCAGTAAGTGTGTGCGATGTTCGCAGCGCTGCTCAAAGTGAGAAATCCGATATGTGGGTCCATTGTCATTCTGAGTTAGGGAATGCAAGCGCCATCAGATTAGTGCCGAATGAATACACAATCTCCTTAGAAAATCCCACCACTGACAGGTGGGATGCCACAGTCTATATATATATATATATATATATATATATATGCTTTTGATAAAACATTTGCCTGTCTTCACAGGGAAATTATTCACACATGGTGTGCACATGTATATTGAAAAATAATATCCGTGTGTTTTTTTTTTACTTAGACAAAAGGATGGATCCATCACACATAGTTAGACATCCTTTTATTGTTTTAAATACACAAATCACAGATTATTTGGAACTCCCAAATAGCTAAATTTTCAAAAAGGTCCTCCCGATAGTAATATTCAACTTGACCTTTCTCCTAATGGATGGAGAACATCTCATTATGTTCGATCAATATTGTCACCGCAGGAGGAACATTTCACTCGTGCTTTGGCAAGAGTAAAAAATACCACTGACCCCGCCCCCTTTACCCGGCGCTTTCAGGCCGTCTTTGATGCGAGCTCGCCATTTGGACAGTGATGACAAGTGTGAAGTACTGTGTCGAAACAGGAAGTGTGTACGCACGTGTGTGAGCGGCAGGCTAAGTAATGATCACACGGGGTCACCAGATGTTGTGAGGTCCCGGGCTCAGCCCAGCCCATTGCTTAGATCAGCCTCATTGCTCTGCTCTGGTTGTGGCACCTTGTGCAAGCTGTTTAGGGTATTTAATTCCTGAACACTCATTAAAATGGTTTGTGTTTCCCTTGGCAATTTTGTTAAATTAACAACTACCGAGGTAAAAGCTGATTATGTGGCCACACATCCAGGCATGGTTAATCAATTCTCTCGCACAAAATGTCTGCTGGTGAATTAGTGTAAAGGAAACGATTTATGGCGACTAATGCCGACGTCCTGTCATGTCAGGCCTGGTGTTTTAGCAAGAGTGGGCGGGGGGGGGGATGTCAGATTCAGCACATTCAGCAGCTTTGCACTATGCCGGCCATCTTTTTTTCCCCTTTTAACCCGAGCTACATGCTGCTTGCTCTATTAATGAGCCAATAATGGAGAAATAGTGTCGGTTGCTGACATAAAACACGGGTTTGGATACCTAAGGCAGGGTAGCACAAAGGCTCCAGCTGAGCTAGATTTAAACCATGGCTCTGTTTAGAATGGTAGAAAGGGGAACACTCGGCATGGGGGGGGGGCTCTCACAGCTTCATCAGACCCCCGCCGGCCCAACCGTGGAGAAGCCCGGGCTCCGAAAAATACGACTGTGGCAGATAATGATACCATTACACTAATGGAGCTGGCAAATGAAGGAGAACCCAGATGCCCTGCTTTATTACCGGAGGGGGTCATTTCCTCGCTGCATTCCTAATGGCTGAGCACACAGTATTGATCAGGCCATCACGCTGCTAATCCTCTACAGAATTACTTATCGCCGGCTAGGTGTCGATCCACCGCGTGCCCTGCCCTGGCCTTGCCGATGGGGGGCCACTGTGTGTCCAGCAGGGACCCACTGGGCAGTTTATCCGGTTGTGATTTAGGGCCGAGCAGGGATGGCGTCTGGGAGGTCTTCAGCAGTGGGCTGGCCTGTTCAATGTGGAAAAAAAAAAAAAAGAGGCAAATGAACCTTATTGCTTTCATTTAATTAAAGAGCGGGCAATTATGTGGTTCCTCCCTCTTTATGGCCCCATTGACCGCTGTGGAGCAGGGGAAGCTGTGAGGTTGGGTGTTGTTCTCAGTAATTGTGTTGTGCTGTAAATAAGAACAGGCAGCTCCTGTGCCCACAGCAGTATTTAACTCTGCTGCATTCTTGCTTTATGGGGCTGAAAATTGGAGAATTCCACTTGCAAATTGGGTTTTCCTTTTAGGCCAAACTGTAGCGGACCTACCAGTTGCAGTTGCGATTAGAAAAGTGGTTTTGTTTTAAAACTATAGATGGGATTAGATTTCCTATGTTATTCCTTTCCATGCATTACTCGAACATGACAGAGAACGGTCCCCCCTCGTTACAAATGAATGGGAGGGTCAGGTAGCACAGAGCGCTCTGCCCAGGGCTTGTGACCCGTCGTATCCTTGGCCCCTTTACTGGGCCCCTGTGTGCATTAGCATCCTCAGGCCATTGGAAGCGTGGCCTGGTAACATCGGCAGACCCCACGTGTCACCTCTGGCCCCGGCTAATCCAAGAGTTTACCTTAAGGGGGGCATTTAGCCCTGTTTGTTAGGGCCATTGCAGGAGCTATAAAGACGTACTTATACATTTCCATCTGGAACAACCTGTCGCGGCTAGGGAAACTAGCTATTGATCCAGATATTTAGTCATTTCTTTCTGCTTGCCCCATCAATATTGTGCAAATATCTGTCCACGCGAGGGTTGACCTCAGCCCCGGCCTCTATTTTTCGCTCCCATTGGAGTTCTATGATATACTATTCTGAAAAGTAAAATCAATGTGTAAATATGAAGTTCTGGTGTGTAATATAGCGCAGGCCCAAGGCCCCGGGTATTTCATTGATTCGCTGTGTGAGCTTTGGAGGAGGCTGATTAGTCTGCCGCTGCGTTTTTCCTCTATACGTATTTACCGTGTTTCGCCTGTTTGATCTTTGGCTCATATATTTGGACTGACGTGTTTACAGATCAACTTGGCCAGTCAAGCTTCACTTTGAACTAATTCAGCCAATAGGTTACAATAGTACAGGAATTGAATAACTTGTATTATAGTGAGAGGAAGGAGAGTAATGTCTTTGTATATTTTCAATACTGCCGGTATTTCATCTTATTGTTTAGTTTCGTAAGAGTATATGTATTTTTATTTAACCGAAGTCGATTGAACCAATTCGACAACTCAACTCACTTAGTGAGTCTTGGTTCTAAATATTTCACTGATAAAAGGATAGGACTGATGGTTGTGGATTTTCTTTCCTCTTTGATGTGATTATAAAATCCACTATACATATAATTATGCCCCACAACTGGTGACATGAGGGAGCCGGTTCCTTGAGATAAAATGATGGTCCAAGTTAGTGTTCATCACCCACAGATAAGATGGGTCTCTTAATCAAGGCTTCATGTGTTGGGTTAGCTTCTCATAATCAATACGAGAAACCTTGCATGTCCTTCGTACCCCCCGCCCCCCCCCTCCACAACACCTTTTTTATGGGGGTCTGTGTCTAATGTATAAGATTTTATGGGTGCATGATGTCTACATTTGGTTTGCATCTGGAAGGATATCAACTTTTACTGCCTCGCCTGCATTATCTCAGGGTACGTGGCAAAGACGGCTCGTCTCGGGCTCCCATGTGTGCTCACGGGGGCCCTGTGATCTCGCTAAAGATTTAAATGCAGAGAGGCTTATGCTTGGCATTACGTCGGTATTGAACGGCATGTTGAGTCAAACAGTGACTGAACGGGACACTTACCTTTGAATGGGTTGGCTACTTTATGATACTATATGATAGCAGATAGGGTGAAAAAATAATGAATGTCTTGCGCCCACGCAATCCGCATTTGTTTGATTTGAGCAGCCTTCACTCTCCAAAACAAGAAAAAATGATATTGAACCGCAGATATAGAACTTTAGGTAACAATACTTACTTAATGGCTTTGTTGATCATTCGCCACTCGGGTGGTGTGTCTT